GGGAGGAGGAGGGGTGGGGAGATGGAAAGAGCCGGTTTGTCGAACACATGCTTACTAAAGCTAAAACATCAATGAAACAATACCATGGAGGATTATACATAACATCAGTCAGTTCAGGGATCTTATGGCACCTGTGGTTTATAAACAGCTTTAGCAACGAGTATTTCAAAACATAGTTCACAGTTTTAAGAAGATCTGTGCTGATTTAAAAACTAGATTCTATATCATTTGAATGTCACCTTTTGTATATGATATCTATTTGGAAAAAAATATTTACACTAACTTCTATGGCTGATTTGTTAGATTATTTTGAAAGAAACATTCCTAAGTTACACATTAGCCCTAAATTAAAGAGGTTTTTTATTATTATTATTATTATTATTAATTATATTATTATTATTTTAGTACATTTTGTATAAGTCTTAATTTAAAGACTTGCAAACAAATTGCAAATATAGTCTGGTACTTTGTTTTTTGGGCTACTAGATATATACACTCAGGAGTATAATAATTCAGTGTTAAATGCAAAATTGTAGCTTTTTATTTCTTCTGTGGAAAAAATGTACAGTGTATAGTAAACTGATCTACTAAAATCTCAATGTATTCAGAAATCAAATTTCTATCTATAAACAGTATTGTCATTGTAAACTGAACAGGTTCAATATCATGTGCAAAGGGTTTACGTGAGTTATTAATACCGCCATCCTTTGTAACAGCAGTACGTACGTCAGTCTGTTTTCTTCACCGGTAATGAGCCATGTTACAGAAGATGTAGCTAATGAAAGTTAGCTTTAAACAAAAGTCTTGTTGTCAAAAACACACATCTACAAACTACAACTCTTAGAACAAAAGTACTGTGCTACAGTCCTCAGAACTTAGTTATGTGATTTTTTTGTCAAGAGACGCTGCACCTCTTGGTTCCACTCTTCTGTGAAGTTCGCAGCCGAGTTTTCTTCATCATCTGTCCGAAAGCAGCTCTCCTCATCATCAGTTCTTACGTAGCTTTCGTTGTCTGTCTGACTGCAGCTTGCCTGTTGAGAAATGTTTGGGGAAGGTTTTTAAAAGGAGTGCTGGTTTAAGGTGCTGCACCCACACAGGCACAGCAAGTAAAGCCTCTGCCTGCTGCTTTATTGAGAGAAAAAAAGGAGGAGCTGGCCAATTCCTGTGGTTATCCCTGAAAAAGTTAAAAAAGTGAAAAGCCGTTCTACCTAGGTGAGCCATAGATATTTGAGCTGTGAACAGAAACTTGTAGGGCACTTGGGAAGTTGGAAACTCTTCCTACCACGGATGAGAAGACTGTTGCCTGCTCTGCTGTGGGACCCTGGGGTAACTGGGTCTGCACTAACACAGATTTGCAGATGTTCCCATTTTCCCTTCCATTCTACCCTTCCAGGTTGCTCTATAAAGAGATTATTGGTAGTGAAACCACGGACTATTCCGCTTGTGCACAGTGTTCAGTCACCCAGTTAAGAGTCACTCACCATCAGGAGCCGCCCCCTCACGTGTAAACGTCTCACCCTTAATTTACATGCTCAAGTATATTTCCCTATGTCTAAAAAGAAACGCAGTTACTTAAAAGGACGATTCTGGGTGCTATAGCTCGTAAACAGCCTAATCTGCTGGTGCACCAATTTCTCCTTGGTGCTCCTAAGTATCCTGAAGCATCATCAAGTATCTTAAATTCCTGTATCGGAGGCACCAAAGTTTTAGTTGGTAATGGAAAATGCTTGATAGATGACTGCTGCTCTTTCTCAGAACTATGTCAGGATCTACAGTCAGGTAATACTGCAAACTTCTTCTTTTGGCGTATTTATGGTAAAGACACTGTTTACACACTTGACTCTTTCAAAGTCAAGTACCTCAGACAGAAAACCAATTTGCATTACAAGAGATCTGATAATAACAGCATAAAAGACCAAACCCTACTGACATGAATTCTTTTCTACTCATTTCGGGCATAAAGCTGGTCTACAAGATGAGAGATGAATGCAAATTACTTCCGCAAAAAAGAGTTAAATTAAAGCTGATGAATGAAGAAAGGTCAGGGTTTAGCTTGCTTCTTCTCCTTCCTGACACCATTTGATTGTATTAATTATTCAAGCACAAACGCTTCCATCCGATTCCTTCATATCTAAGTGTGCCAAATGGTACGATGATCTTAATTTAGTATCTCCTTGTGTCAGGCAGTTACAAAGTCCTAGGATTAACATTTTGTTGACAAATGGAAAGGAGACCTGCACGGCAAGTCTAATGAGAGGTTCACAAAAAATTGCTGAGGTACATTTTAAACGAGTATTTTTAGAAAATCAGACATGCATCTGCACCGCTTAAGTCTGCAAACTAATTTGGAAATCATAGTAAAGCAACATTTTGCTCTTCACAATTCAGCCAAAAAACGCAAATGAAAGAGGTCAGTTCTCAGCTGCCTGAGACTGATTTTTATTGAACCAATTTCAGGGTTATGTAAATATAGGTGCATCTCATATTTCTTGATGGTATTATTACAAACCACGAGAGCAAAATAAGAGTGGCTTGTGAAACACTGGATGCATTAAGATGCATTGAAAGTACTGCTAAGTATTTGGGTTTGCTTTGAATTTTCTGGATAAATTACTTCTCTTTGGTGGAGTGCGGAGAGGTTATTCTGAATTCTCTCGAGGCTTCTTTCTGTTCCACAGTCAGCATTGGGATAGAGAGATTTTCATACAAGAAATAATGAGTACTAATGAACCTCACAGCTCTAAATTCATTGCAGCACTTTGGAAATGCCAGAATTAATTCCAAGTTAAGACTCATATGATTTGTCACGTTATAAAACTGTTTCTCGACCTTTTTTATAACTTAATCCATGGGTTCTTTTCTGTTACTTATCATTCGGCGATTTTCAAAAACCATCCCTATCACTTGTGTAATTTTAGAATTAAATTCACAAAACTAAAGCTGCTTCTTCCCAGTTAACTCGGTCACAGTTCTTTTACAGCTTTTTTACGCCTACATGCTAAGAAGAGGAGGACTTAAGGAGAAAAATAAAGAGGAAAACCAAACTCACCAGCTGAGTGAATATAGCAGACATTTTTGAAAATTACTGTGCTGTCAGCCTGCTGTTATTTTCAAATGGAACGGTCTACATAATGCTGGTTTTTATGTATGTGTTCAGAAAAAAACCCAAAAGAGACGCTGAATCATTTGATTGTGCTACTAGAGTATGACTTATGGGTGTGAGCAGTTCATCTAGTGCCTGTATCCTGCTTCTTCACCACTGCATCGCTGACTTCGGAGGAAGAGGTTGAAGAAACTGGGCTTGCTGAGGCTGGGGCAGAGGTGGCAAGGGAGGATCAGTTAGAAGCTATTTGAGGGGTAGTTACAAGGATAACGAAGCCAAAATTGTGTGCTGAAGCACACAAAAAGGACAAATTGCATTTTGGGAGGTTCAGGTTGGACATTAGGAAAAAATAAAACCATGAGGAGGGTGGCACTGTACTGGAGGGAGATGTCCAGAGAGGTGGTGAAGTTTCCATCTGTGGAGGTTTTAAAGTCTTTGCTAGACAAAGCCAAGGCTGACATGGTCTCATGTTGGAGCTAGACCTGCGTCAGACGGGAGGCTGGACCAGACGACCTCCCGAGGGTCCAACCAACCAACGCACCTACACCCCTGTGATCTCCTGAACTCCTGGATGAAGCCCATGTGAGGAATGAACCACAGTGCGTGAGCTTTAAATGCAGCCAGTCAACTCAACTAGCACTGTTCGGGGCCCTACAGCCAAAGAGAGGCCAGGGCACCGCTGGGAAATGTGACCTCAGGCAGTGGGCACAGCAAATCTGAAACCCACGCATCCGTTAACTGTGGGCTAGTAACCTGACTTGGGCCTGGGGCTACGGATCCTGCGTCCCGTCTTTCCCAAACAGTAAATGGCCAGGTCCATGTCTCAAAGGACTGGTAATGTCAATGGCCAGCGACATGCACACTATCTCTAAAATCTTGTTTCCTTCCCAGAAAAACACAGAGATGCAGGGCAGTTGTGTCTTCACAGCACTTAAACAAATCGTCTGTGCCCTTCGGCTTAACCAACAGCCCTTCTCACAGCGGCACGCTGGGCAGACTGGACTGACCACTCCATCTCCCTTGGTCCATGGGTTTTATTACCTGACATTTGGCAATATTCCTAATCTCTGCTGGTAAACATGAAAACAGAGTTTGGAGAAAAAGGGAAAAGATGAGAAAAACATGAAAGTGTTACTCAATGAGACTTCTGTCCTGGAAAAACAGTCAAGTTGAATAAATAATAATTTTTTAACAATGCATTCATATAAAAAAGTTGAAAGGATTTGGGGTCTTTGTGTTTGAAAAATTTCCACCTGTTTCAGTACAAACCATTCAGTCACTTTTGCAGTGGAAAATGTCACCCCTGGCCACCCAAAGCCCCAGACCCCACAATTTGTGTGATAAGGTTTAGAGCAAGTGAAAGGGTTTGGAGTGGGAATGGAACTGAGTGTTCAACTTAAATTATTACATGTTTTTGTCGACATAGAGAAAATGTGATCACAGTTAAAAAATCGAGAACGAAACCTCTAATAAAGAATCCTCCCGGTACTCCCTCTCAAGTGGATGCTTTAGGTCTGATTTTTGTTAGCTTTTCACACTTCCTTTTCTGTTATAATAATGCATATAAATGAATCAGACACGACCAACTAAAATGTTGCTATGCCAGCACTAAGAAAGCATTGCTTTAGAAAATCTAGGAAATTGTAGGTCTCGTGGGAACATGTCCATTGCACAAGTTGACAGCTCTTAGTTGAAAATGACAACTTTTTAACTACTTTCAGAGATGGAGGCTTTCTGCTCCCATTGGCCAACCCGGGCAAAAAAGCAACTGCTATCAGGGGAATAAAGGCAAAATAATGTCAAAAAGTTGCATGTTCACATAATTTCAAGATCTGCCTAGAGCCTGCTGAAAACAAGCTCAAATTCACTCTGTTACTCTATTAAAAAAAAAGTGGTATAAAAGTACATTTAACATAAAAAGTAAACTGAAAACATGATTAAATTATGTTTTATACATTACTGGAACCACTTGCTGTCTTGGGAATTTGTTATACTAGATATTATTTCAAAATCAATTCTAGAGAATTGTCCATAGCACTTTTAAAAATGCAAATGCAAATAGAATGCAAAAAGCCTTAGTCAAATGACATCAACATCACTTGTCCATGACTGATGCATGAGGAAATGAACAAAACTCTGTGGCTGGCCATCAGTGGCAATATCACTCAGAAGAAGCTGTAATAAACTGATCCCATTTTTCCCACCTTTTTTTAAATAAGCACAAATGTAATACTGTTGCGAGATAAGAAAGTTTGTTGGCTTTCTACTTCATATGGCCATCTAGGCAATATAATACTGACTGTATTTGTATAATAGTTGATTGAATAATATTATCTTAGAAGTAAAAGTCTTGATGCAATTAGTAAGCTTCAAGCAAGAACGCAACGTAAACAGCAAAAGCACTTCAGACATTGCGACCGGTATGAACAATTTTGGATTTAATTTTCCAAGGCTATGAAATATTAGTACCAAATAAAATGCACAAGATACTTTAATCTTCCATATTCACAAAAGAGTAAATCTTGAGAAGACTAATCCACGCTCAGCACGTGCAGATAAATATGTAAAATGTACATATTTATCACAATGTACCATAATACAGAGTTTGCTCTTGTGGATATAGGTGAAGTGCCAAGTTCACCGATTCTTATTGCTAACTTCTATAGGGCCAGGCTTTTACAACTGGTGGGAATGTTTCAGTCTTTGGTACTGGCTGAAGTGCTCCCCTGGGAGCCAAAAAGAGTTTCACTATGGAATTAACCAGAGCACAGTGCTTTAAAAAATTTCTTTTTGACAGGGTTTCAAAAGGTTTCAAAAGCATCCGGGAGATGAGATAGTAGCTCAGTCTCAGATCTCTGCTAATTTGAGACAGGATGCATGTTTTCAAGAAAGCTAGGCTGTATGGCAGTATGCGTTTCTCCACATCACTACGTTAACACTGCTTCCTAACAAAAAAGGAAACCTTAAGTGGGATTGCCTGAGCTTTATAATTCTAATGAAAAGGATTTTTTCCCACTTAATATTGCAAATAATAGTTTGTCTGAATGCTACTACCCTTTAAAGTCATAGTTATTAATAATTGTAATTAAGTTCAGTTATATATAACATTTCCACTATATACAGTTATACACACATACATTGTTGTTGAAAGCTCTATTTTCCTTTTCATGTGACCTCATCTATAACTGACAACTGCAACAAAATAGAAGAAAACTTATTTTTCTGGCCATCAATGTTTAGGAAAATCTACACAGCTCATGTTTTTAACAAGGCTACTGAGAAAATGAATGTAACCTGAGGGGCAGTGTTAGGAGAATTTTTATGAGCAGCTATTTGCTGTTTATAGTACTCTGGGTATTGCTGTTTATTTGCTTTTCACATCCATTTATTCTGCTTTAGCTGCCAGAGACACTGAGACAGATGCTTCAGAAATACCTAACAGCTTTTAACACTGAAGACTGGCAGCTGCTTTCACAAGGTCCACACTTTAACATCCAAATTCTACTGTCATCAGAAGTTGCAAACCCCTTGAATCAGGGTCAAATTTTGCCATCAAAATTGCCATATAAATAAGGAGGTCTAGCATAAAAGATGGCATACAAAATCTAGCAATGCAAATTCCTGCTAAAGTTGGCCCAGGCTACTTCACTGGTTTTGCTTATCTGAACATGACCCTGCTCCCAACTTGAAGTGGCCATTTGATAGTTGACCTTTGGTTGCCTTTAGTTCTGGCTTTGAGGAAGAGACTTAGTTTGCAGACCAGAGTCAGACCCCTATTTTGATTTCTCCTCCCTTTCTGGCTCTGTTACCCCATGGTTCAGGGTCACAGTAGGATGGCCAGCACTGTCTCACTGCCATCTTCATAGCAGGGAACCGCACTCTCCTAGGAAGTCAGAAATGCAGAGTCCGCAGCTTCAGATGAGGCAAGAAGGAAATGTGTGGTCTCCTATTTCCTGGGCAAATGTTCAGAATAACAGGCTACTTCATAAAAATAGCCATTGTCTGTGTTCCTGAAGAAAAACACAATTGCTGAACTTGGCATTAAACTCAGTGCTGCAACTGTGAGGTTGGCACGTGTAAGGAACATGACCTGAATATGGGCCAGCAGGGAATTTATAGACCTTCTTGCCTTATCTCTGAATTGCCAGACTCTAGCTAGTAGCTGAGTACTTTGCACTTTGGATTGGGGCATTCTGAACTTCCACAACACATCTGAGGACACCTCTATGGTTAAGCAGCTGGTGAATTGCTTTCTTTAATGTTTGCCTAACTGCTGTTTCACGCACTAGAGTAGATGTTCTGGTCTCACCAGAAATGATTTATTTCAGTTAAGACTAAAACATTGTAAGGAATTGAACTCAGGTCTCCTGGAATGTAATCCGATTCCTTATCTTCTGGATAAGGTTTCTCTGTACTGGCTAATATATTTGTCACCATCCCTGGGGATGAAAAGCCCACGTTCTCACTCTTACGGTCCACAAAGGAGGAAGATAAAAAGGGTGGCGGCTTAACAGGAATCCTCAGGACTAGGACCATATTTCAAACAGTTTATTAGAAATTATTTAGAGACATTCCTCGGCATCCTAACACAGGTTAAAAGAAGAAAGAAACAGCATCTTCACATACACTCAGGCAGCACAAGGTGCATTGCAACTGAAATAGACATTATGAGGATTCATTCCAAACATTCTTCTAAATTATGATACTTACTTGAGAGGAGAGAGAGAAGGATATTGCACTCAACTTTGCAAACTGACCTGTAGATAACAAAGGATAGAAAACAAGAAGATGACAAATTAAGCCAGTGAGCAGCCAGGCAGTGTATTATTCTGAAGAAAGCCATGCACAAGCCTAGAAATAAAGGAGCAATTATGGACCCAGAAAATAAACCAAATGAAAAGTGTCTTACACAACACATCCAGCAAAAGACTGTAACAAGGACACAACTGGTAGCAGATGTGGGAGGATAAGCACTGTTAGCATTTACACTTGTGCACTAAATGTGTTTTTTTCTGGTACAGATACTTGTTATTTACAACATGCTTCAAAAAAAGAGAGAGAAAGAAGCCTCCTTTGAGGTTCCCTGTCCCAGATTTCCTTGTGTATCTTGGGTTTTCTGCTCATACTTTAATACTAATTTAGAGTTTAGCTTGAAAATCTTGCTTGGAGACAAGGTGACACGAAATAACAAGAGTGGGTTTTGACCAACCATATTCCATGCTACACAACATCTACACGTTTTTCTAAATGTGCTGCTTTTACACAAAGTGAGACATTTAATAACATAAAAATGGTTACCATATTGTTACTGAGGTTACCATTCTGTAACCTTAGTAGGAGTTCCTCCTCGCAGATTTTTTTTCAGCTGACAATTGCATTACGATAGCTAGAGCCACCAGCTTTTTTTGGCTATCCAGATGAATGCAGTGTACATGTGAGTACAAATAGTAAAAAAGCCTGTAATAAATTCCAATGGTTGGATGCAAAATGAGAATAGTTGACCTGGCTGCTGTTCAATAGGATACCCTAAACAGAAATTTCCCAATTTTCCTTTGTTTTGGCAAGTAGAAAGGAAGTTGTGTCTTTATCTTTAAAGACTACTCAGTGATACTAGTAGAAAAAGGAGTAGAACAGCAAAATACCACAAATAACTGCAAAGTGCAGCGAACGAGCCAAAGCCAAAGCACATGTCTCAGGATCAATACGTGACACTACCCAACCATCTCCTAATCATCCTAGTGGTCCCTACTAACTTAATACCTATTCTTGCTTGCTTTAAACACGTTCCCTAATCGAAAGGGCATCAGCCATACTGGGAAGGACTTATCACGCATTGCATGCTTTGGGTCTGTGGTTATCAACTAAAAATAGTTTCTATTTACAAGTCACTACTGTCAAATCATTGCCTGATAGGAGCTGACAATCTCACAGACAGTAAAGTACATCATGAAATTTCTTTTGGAAAAATGCTATTAAACAGAACTTGTCTAGAATGAGGACTTTCTGTTCCCTCAGTGAATATATTTTTGAAAGAAAAAAGCCTTTCTCTTTTTCTGTTTTTTTTTTTTCCCCCAGTGGAAACAAATTGTGTAAAACAACGGGGAACAAAGTTTACCCGGGTGTAGTCTTGGCTGACCTAAATTCAAAAGGAGTTTTATTCTGACATCGGTAGGGAGATTTCCTCCCCTTCTTCTGGGAAGACAGTAGAAAAGCTCTATTTTGACTGAAGCAAGAGTAACACCCAGTTCTATTGAGCGACATGTATAACTTCTACTACACAACGAATGCCCTTATTTTGCAGTGCACATGCGCACTCAATTTTGTGCCTGTACAAAATCCTGTTGTAACTTGTGAAACTCATCTAACACTGTTGCCTTATATTGCACTTCCATACTGTAATCAAGTACAGTCAAATTGGTCTATCGTTCCTTCTAGAGAAAATGGAATTTTTGCCAGCAATAATAACATTTGTTATTTGATGCTTGACAGCTGTCACCATTGAGGTACTCCTTCTTTACAACTGACAATTACTTTCCATTACATCAGCAGTAGCTGCTCATCCTGTTCAGAAGTTTAAAGGCTGTCATTTTTGTCATTTCCTATCTTGGATTAAAAATTGTGACAAAAAACCCCATGTCACCCACTGTTGCCTTAGTAGATAGTCTGTAACAATTCTGCTCTGTGTCCTTAAAGACCTTTGCAATGAAATGACTTTTGGCAGGCGACCATGGGCATGTAGCAGACCTAGGTAAACAAAACAAAAACAAGATGCTCACATCAACCTCAAAACTACCTGCAATTTTGGTATGAGTCTATGAACTTTTACAAGACTAACTTATTCTAGCAGCTTTACAGAAAAGAAGACCAAAAGAGCAGCCATTCTCCATTAGATCACGAGCCTGTCAGTCCCAGATTCTTGTCTCCAAAGTGACTGGCAGAGGATACTGGAGAAAAACTACCAGAAAAAAAGGCTAGATTTTGTTAGCTCCCAGCAATCAGCAGTTTAAAGAATTCCTACCCAGAAGGTGCTTTTGAACCTCATTTCCACACACCTGATCTCTCAGTACCTGCTTAATCCTTTTTTTTTAGCCCATTTATACTTTTGGTCTCTGTTATATTCTGTAGTGGCGAGTTCCAAATTTTAATTGATCACCATGTGGGAAAGTAGTTATTTTTGCTTGCTTCAGCTCTGCTCCCAAATAACTGAACTGGGTGTGCCCAACTACTGACATTACTACCAACATTATAAGAAGTAATGAATTTTATATTAGGATGATCCAAGTCAGAATAACTTAAAAACTGGCGATAGTCCATTACACCATGTAGAAGCGGAGACCATTACGCAGACAGGACAGGATATCTACAGAATTCCAGCTCCCCCTGGCAAATTTGCTTTACTCAAACTCTTAAACAAATGCCCTTTGAAAACTTCCTCAGGGGGTGTTTAATGACAAATCCCCAGGCTTCTCTATACCAGATGCTTGTTGAATATTTGGTCCTCTGGGATACAGTTCATTTCAGACCCTTTCCTCTCCTTCCAGATTCTGACAAGGACAGTAACACACAGACTGCACTTGAGCTTCAGTTCACACTGGAGAAACCATTATGAATGTTTTTTGCTACTGGAGAAAAAAAAAATAATCTAAATATAGCAAGAACTCAGCTTGACACCACCAACCAGCCTCTATGGTACAGGGGAATGAGGTCTAAGTGACTTGGTAGGCACCGGCAGAGAACAAGCTCAGAGGCAATTCTGTCCCACCTGATGCCCTGGTAAGCTTAAGGACTGCTGTTGTGTGCCTCAGGCAGTGTGGTCTTCCTGGATATGCACGAAGGCTACGTGCATGTGTGTCTGTGGAAGAGAACAGCAGCAGTTTTTGGAATGTGGCTGCTCTAGTAAATGAGAAGAGATCATGCCCCAGGGCCCAGGACAGGTTAAGAAGGGCACTGGGCAGCTATGGCGTATTATTGTTTCTCACTTATGGAGATGTATGGGCAGCTGGTGTCCTTCTCCCACCTGGTATGCCTCATCCTGCAGCTTCTGCTTCAGGTACTCCTCCATTTTCAGTTCATTCTCCAGCTGGCGGACAGAGTCATTCTCATAATTTTCATCATCTGCTCTGACATAGGGGTCTCCATCTTCTGTAACCCTAAAAACAATTATTAATAAATAGCCTCCTGAGATGAATGACATTCAGAGTCAATAAAACTTCCCTTTATTGTAAGCTATGAGGAGAGCGGGATACTTTTAGTCCAACCACATGCTCCATTGGTTAGTATTTTCCTGGTAGTGGAAAACACTTCTGCTATTTCCCTTCTCCAGAGGTCTGGTATTGATGAAGTAGACCAAAGGGCATATTCTGCTTAAGGCATTTTGGGGGTACAGCCCTATGGAAATGAGTAACAAAAGTTCTCAATAACTTGATAAAAAGAGGTTGAACTAAAAATAACTGGAAAGATGCTTATTGTCTTTGATAGGAAGATTCAGGTTCTAAAAATAAATCCGTTTGTTGATCAATTGAGTTGGTCAATAAAAAGCATTCTGTCTTTTCCATTTAAAAACTTCTCTTTTTCCAGTGGGCTCCAACAGGCCCCTCAGTCTGGATAAGCAGGGAATCATAGGATCATAGAATCATTAAGGTTGGAAGAGACCTCTAAGATCATCGAGTCCAACCGTCAACCCAACACCACCATGCCCACTAAACCATGTCCCTAAGCGCCTCATCTACACGTCTTTTAAATACGTCCAGGGATGGGGACTCAACCAATAAGACTGCAGGGCATAGTAGGGAGCACAGCTGTCCCACAGCCTCCATGCCGCCCGTGTGTACCAGACTGGAGTCTGGTACAGTAAGACAGCTCACTCCTGAAGACATCCGAAGTTCTGGCCTTTATCGTTTGCAGAGCTTACTACTATCTAACCATGAAGCTGTCCTCACTTGGATTTAGACTTTTTTTTTGGTAATCAAGTAGTTGAGAGGGAGAGAAACTATTACATGCTGCATATTGTTTTCAACAGAAAAAGAATGAGATTAAGAAGGCGAATCAAGCAGGTACCCACATGTCACTGCGGATGGAGCCGGTGGCAGCAGCGCTGTGGATGTACCCTGGCTTCCGGGCATGGATCTGCGCGAGGAAAGCCTTCTCAGACGTTGGGGACGGAACAAGGTCGTCAAAATGGGTCCGTCCAAATTCAGAATCCACATTGCTTTCTGTCTCGCTGCCCACTTCTGTGAAACAAAAGGTGACACGTGGTTCCATTTAACTTTCACGAGAGTAAGTATACTTGCCTATTTCTCTAAGCCTTTCTCTGCCTTTCCAACTTAGATTGCCACCTCCTTATTAGCGAATAACAGTATATTATTCTACATATATCTGCAGAGCTAATAGTTCTCTTCTTGTGGTGGGACAGAATAGTGAAGCTTTTGCTTATCTCAGTTACTAGGTAGGACATTTTTATGAGAATACTACAGACTGCATTTTACAACAGGTCCTATATGTTCTATGCTTTTAGAATGAAATTTCTAAAGAGCGAAATCACACAACTGCATTTTACAACAGATCCTATATGTTCTATACTGAATGAAATTTCTAAAGAGCGAAATCACACTCCACGTGGAGTCAAGAAACTTCTCAAAATTTCCACTGTATCCAGCTACACCTCTATGTCCACGGCTTTCAGAATGGCTGTATTCCTGAAGCTGTTATTTAGGGATTTTTTTTCTAAAAGCATAAAAAGCTTTGAAGACACATTGCACTGCTTTTTTGTTGGTTTATATTTTCCTACTTCCCATTTTTTCAAATATATGTGAAATGTCAGTGTGGTGACTATCCACCCTCGTTAGCCTCACTCACCAGAATTTAGTTCTTTTACCAAAGAAGACATGGTGTTGGTGATTGAATCTGCTGCCACCAGCAAATCATTTCTTAAGTTTCGTCTTGCACCTGAAGCAAGAGACAGACAAAACACAGTGTTACTATTCTTCACAAGACATATGTTTTCCTATTGAAAGCAGTTTTAACCTTGTTGAAAGCTGCCATTGTGATAATTCAGGGTATCAAAGTCCTTACGAGGGACACGTGCAGAAGAGTTCTTTGCAGAATGGCCTCATTTACTTATGCTGTATGCAAGAGCAGAAGCCTACCCTCATGCTTCATTTAATCACAATGCCAGATATGTGGAGATTATTCATTGCCATCAAGCTTGCATTTGTGTGGTGACACCAGCAGACCAGGCCTGGAACATTAAATCCAGCGTGAACTCATTTACAATGTCTGTGGGGGAGGAGGGAAGAAATGAAGTGTTTTCTCTAAGTTCCCACAGCTCTGTTTAATGACACCATTATTGCCAGGTATTTGCCAGATAATTATGGCAAATGTTGAAGAAACATACTTGACCTCATCAAGACTGATACGGATTTTTCTTCTCCGCTGCCTCTCAGCCTCTCCTGTAGCTCAAGGACTTTCTCGTATATTCCATAATTTGCTTTCCCTCTCTCTCTTTTTTTTTTTTTAATAAAGGAAGCACTATTGCCTCTCTAAACAGCCCCAGGCTGCTTTTAAACTCTTTCTAATAATGGATCTAGAAGTGCTTCCCTGCTGAACCTGGCAATATTCCCTTAACCACCAATCATGAAAGATTCTTGTGAGCTGCATGAAATACTCCTTCCCTAGGAGCAGGCTGTGTGTAACGTGTGCTTAACTCCCCCAAATCCCAAACATAGCTCCTATTGTAGCTGAATAATCAATATATCCCACAGAATCTCTAATCTTCCAGACTGGATTATTCACAGGAATTGGCAGGATTTGACTGTTGTAGATTCTTTAAAACTGGCTGAATGTAAAACAATACATTTAAAAAAGTTTCCCAAATCCTAAAGAGGTTTTTTTAATATATCCATTAGCAAATGGTTACTGGAATGTAAATTAAAGAGAGGGCATCTCTCTCTTACACACACACAGCCAGCCACTCCCTCTCTACTCTTCTCAATTTTGTATCATCTCTGAACTATTGCAAACACTATGAAAGAGAAAAAAACCACAAGAGAAACCGTGCTTTAACCATGGCCTGTCTGCATTATGTATATATAGGATCTCTGTTGGTGCAGCACAGAATGGAGCCGTAAAATCTCAGCCCACTCCCCCCCCCCAAAGTCTTGTGTCAAGATGTGACAGAACGACTGGCTTCAAGTTCTTTGGGTTTGACCTTCCCATCTAGAGAATATGGTTAATAATGACATAAAGCTAGATATTTATCAAATGCAGCAGTTTTTAAATGCGATCGCTTCCCTTTTTATATTGCTTTTTATCTTGAACAGAACATATTTATATACTTAAAAAGCATTTGCCTGAGGCAGCCTTAGCATTATTTATGGATATTTTCTTGTCGCCACTACATTATTTCTCCTACTCCTAGCTCTGGAAGAAGCTGTCCTATAACAGCATAGGGGTTAGTGGTCCACATTTTTGCCTGTCTCAATTTTTTTCACAGCAGAAAGAAGGAAAATATACCTTGCCTGTTTCTTTTGCCACAGAAAATGAGATATCTGAATTATGCCTATGTTCAATACACGAATTGACTAGCACTTTAGTAGAAAGTTCTTGATTGCATTATAGATTCAACCTTGTCTTAAGATACACACACAGACACAATTCCCATGAAAATCAAGGGGAAGGGTGCATGAGAGGGCATGAGAGAGAACAAACACGCTTCCACCGTAGCAGAGGAACTCCAGAGCTCCACTTACATTTGATTTGTACTAGGGAAACAGGGAAAAAAAATATTCAAATAAAAGAACTGCAGTGATGTAAATATTTTAGGAGAGAGCAGATTAGAAAAAGAAGGAATATTTCTTCATTTAGATGACATAGACTATTTACTTTCTTTAGTATTCAACATAATCATTTAATCTGTGGCCTTAGAAATTCAAAACAGTTTAACATTTACTGTTACTTGACAAAAGAGTGGAAAGAGGAGTGAGAAACACGGTGCAGCCTACCGCGGTTTTGTGGAAACACAAAGGAAGGGACTGGACTTCCTTCGTCTGGAAGTCACCTGGACTTCCAGACTTGATTCCTGTCTAGTCTAGCGGGACCCTTCTCAGAGGCCCAAAGCAAAAGGACAAGGGACAACAGTCACAAGTTGCATCAAGGGATGTTCCAATCAGATACAAGGACAAAAAATTTACACAGTAAGCATGGTCAAACACTGGAACAGAGGCTGTGGAAAATGTGTACCAGGAGCCATCCAGAACTCAACTGGTTAAGGTCCTGAACGGTCTGATCTCGCTTTGAAGCCCCCTTTCTTGGAGCCAGAGGACTTGGTGACTTACAAGAGTCCTTTCCACCTGAACTAATTCTATGATTGTATCATCTGTTCCTAGCAAATTCTTTATTTAAAAGCAAACATGCTGACAATGCCTTGTGGAGGTCAATAGCAGTTCTTCTTCTTCTGGTTAACACAGCACTGATAACTGGTCTGACCATCTTGCATCAAAATTCCCTCTTACCACAAAATCCATTAATTGACATCATTGTCCAGTTTCTGCTTATCTGCTCGCTTTGGCAGCAAAGTCTCATGGCTGACAAAGTTGATTTTCAATGGCAAAACAGTTGTTGCAGATTTTTTCTTTTTGGTTTTGTTTCATTGCATGCAACTCAGAAGCTCAAGTTCGTTTAGTCATTAACCACAAGAAATAACGATTCTTCAAATAGTCTCTGAGTACCTCAGGCAAGCTAGTAATAAGACTTACTTTGTGCAAAGGCTTCCTGCACATCTCCTCCCACCCCGGTCAGAGAGTCCTGAGGTGCGTGGGTTGGGGTGGAGCAGGCAGAGGCAGACCTGATGGGCATTGGAATCGGTCGGCTGATAGTGTGGCTGGGTGAGGAACGCGGGGAGCCTGCACCTTGGGTCTGCAAAACAGTCACAAGGGGTTAAACAGGTCTTTGCAAGAGCCCTCACCTGCTGTCCTTGTAACCCTTCCCTCAGCTTAAAGGCATCATGCTGTTTGTAGATCAGTTGGGTGATGTTAATTTTGCTAAAACAAATATACTGAAGTCAGTTGTTAACAGACAGCAAGGCTTCCATGTAGAAAAATATTAAGTAGGAAAATATGAGTCAAGATCTGACTTCCTTTAAGCATGGGAAAACGCCAGACAGCTAAATTAAAAAAAATCCAAGTTAATAAGCACCAAAGTATAGACCTTCTCTCTGCCCTCTTCCCTCTCTCACCCCTCCCCGTTACCACGCATGTTTGATAAAACATAACCCATTCAGACTGTGAGAAGGGGAAAGATGCTGGCACCGACGTGGCTTTCAGCCTGGGCGAGGGACTGAAACAGCCCCTTTCATCAGAGCGCTGCTGTGAGAGCTGATCACAGCCCTGCCCTCCGCCTCCCTGCAGGAGAAGTTCACGGTACCTGCAACCTCTCAGTCACATAAAGTCTGACACTTGCAATAAATAGTACAGCTTTATGCTTCTTATTTGGAGCTAGAGAACTATTTTAAGCCACGATTAAATCATACACTATTAAATTGTTCGCTCTACAGGATATACTCAGGCACTCCCAAAACACCGTGGGGATAGGGCAATATAAATTCCTGCTATGGGTTCAGCTGCTGGAAGTGAAAATGTTTTAACACCAGTCATATAAAATGCCATGCTGTTAGCACCTCATAGTTAGTATCACTTAGCTGAAATTGAAGCAGACTTTACAAAATAGTCATTTATTTTTACATTTTACAAATGCAGCTGGGTGAGTGATACCAAGAGACACAGTGGCCTTCTCCTCCACTGTTTCAAAACCCCTGCGAACATTTATCCATGTAAGGAAAAACAAATGCTGGAGCCCACACCAAACTGCACACGGCTTTTGACTGAAAACCTGTGTTTGGTAGATGCCAAGGATGGAGGTGGCTTGAGTGCTGCTAAATTACATTTTACAAACGCAGCTGGGTGAGTGATACCAAGAGACACAGTGGCCTTCTCCTCCACTGTTTCAAAACCCCTGCGAACATTTATCCATGTAAGGAAAAACAAATGCTGGAGCCCACACCAAACTGCACACGGCTTTTGACTGAAAACCTGTGTTTGGTAGATGCCAAGGATGGAGGTGGCTTGAGTGCTGCTAAAGGGGAACAGCAACACGTGCCCCTGGTTGTTTACAGTGAAAAGTAACCCTAGGGCTGGTTTTTCCCTCACCCTGGGTTTATTTTGAGAATTCAGAAGGATTTCTTAACTCTTTCCATTTCTTTTGACTCCTGTAGTGGCTGCCACTGTAGCCCTGATATGGTTTGGCAAATATGTTCTAAAAAAGACAATAGCAGCCCATTGCAGGAGGAGTGCAGCATTGCCCTTGAGATTTTTAGAAAACCCTGTCCCAGACCATAAATAATGTATCAGAACACTAAGCTATTTGTTCTTTTCTCCTATCACCCCTTTTTAAGAGACATTATCACCAGAGAAACATCAAGGGCAAATGAGGTTTATGAGGAATAAGCACGTTACTGATGGGAGAACGGAGGATTTAATACTTATAATTTCTTTAATGATCAGTTTTAGAACATTTAAATGATGGATGAAAGGGAAGTGGAATATATAAGGGCCAGATGCTCTCCTGTTTCTGGAATCATCTGTACCCACTGCAGCAGAAATGCAGATCTCTAGTCCTCCAGAGGCAGGGCACAGAGCAACCTGGAGGTGCTCCAAGGTCCTTGGAGGTCGCACCCCCTGCACATCAGGCAGGGGATCTGGGAGCTACAGCTATCTCCTTTCATGCCCCGATGGGGGATGTTTCATCCTCTGTGAAACAAATTTGTGAAAGAATTTCTGGTTCCCAGCTCCCTCTTTTGCTTGCCCTTTTTCTTCAGCTCCCCTTTGCCTTTGATCTCAGTTCTGGGGAACAACAACAGTGGGAACTTTCAGAGAAGATGAGAAAAAAATGGACAAAATTTGCTTCCTATAGTCAAGTCATATTTAAGGAATGAACTTCAGAATAGGCATTTTATTTACTAAAAATAACAGATGCCTGCCAGTACTTCTTTGCTGGAATTTTCCCACAAGAGAAATGTAAAAGCTGCTGCACACCAGCGCTTTCCCTTGTGTCTGCTTTGCAGCTATGACTGAGATCTTGTGTTTATGATAAACAGTGCTCTCTTATCTGTAGCTTTCAGTGTTGGAACAAACTGTTTGGGAAGCACAGGGAGATGAAGCATTTGGAGTCCCCTGTGCAGCAAAAAACTCCTCTGTTTTTTTACTATTTGGGCAGTATCAGACAGAACTGATGAACAGCAAGTTGAAACAGGAGGATATTAGGGAATTGCTGATTTCAGAGAGGTGAACATTTTCATTCTATTTTACTCATCTAGATCCACCTCAGCCCAAGTTTGTGGGAATGGAGTGCTATTAGGATAGGATTCCTGCTTAGTGGTTGTCAGGAGAAACGTGGTTTTCACAGGCTAGAGCTAACGGCCTGAAACCTGCTAAGATAGTCAGTAGTGCCTTCTTAGTAATCTCAGCAGAGAAATCGAGCACCGAATTGCTCCCAAACCTCGGCAGCCCCACCAGCTGAGGCCTAAGGCATGCTGAAAGGGGAGCTACCACAGCCACCGCAGATATGTGGATGGCTTCAGCTTTTATGCTGTACTTGGTTGCAGCTAGCAATATTCTCGTGCCTTTTAGGAAAACTGCGATGTATTTTATTTAATCCACCATCCCTAGTCAACCTGCTATGGATTTTAAGTTAACCCTTGCTAGGCAGGAAAAGATTTCCCACTGTCAACTGTCATGCGTGCTTAGGATAAAAGGCTTGAAATGAAAACTGGCTTTACAGGAGCTTTAGCCCATTGCTCCCTCTGCCGGAACTGAACTGGGATGACATATGAGGAAAGCCTGTCTCACAGCCTCATCAAACGACGCGGATGTGAAGAACTCATTACCCTTTCTCAAGGAAGGGCAGGAGAGAAATAGAAAGTTCATAAGCATTAGATGAATTGCCAGGCTGCTCATTCCAATTGAACTCCTCCAGAAATTAATTTAATCCTGTTTCTCTCAACAGATCATGAAATGGCATAGTGTAATGGGGATCATTTAATGGAAATCGTGAGAGTAGTTCCCTAGCGTCATCACCTGGTATTCAGCAAGGCTATTACTCTCGGAAGAAAAAAATCATATCTCATAATAGCCTGAAAATGTGCTTTCACTTACACTGTCCAGTGAACATTTTGTACGGTAGGGAAACTCTTGTCGTGTTGGAAACCTCTCTTTTGTGAATGGAAGTTCTTTTAATACTGTTATGCAGAATCAAAAAGACGGCCCTTACACAGAGGTGATGTTTGGTCAGATTTTTTTGTTTGGTGCAACAGATTGATGGTCTACAAAAATTAGCCAAAATGTTAGTTTTATGAAGGTGAGTATGACCTACAAACTCTGCATGCTCTACCATAGACAGAACACATCAGACTTGTGACTACTTCTGCTGATGAAAGCAAGAGGAAGCATGTTTTATTAAAATGAAACGTTTTTACTGGACTCATAAACCCGACTGCTGTCTAAAAAGTGCCTTTTTTTTAGCCTACTATCTTTCCAAGATCCATTTCAATACTAAAAAGCTCCAAAACAATTAAATCTTCTAAAATTTACCATTAGTAATATAAATACTTGCCCTTTTTGATCTAGGTTGTAGAAGCCATTTAGAAACTACATTATTTTCCTGAAGACTCATGGGACTGTTAGCATTGATGCCGACTTTAAAAGATGTGCACACAATGCCCTGACTTTTTCTGGATAAAGTGGGATTTCAAACTCATTGTCCTGGCCTAATTTAAACTCAGTTATATTTTTTCTTAAAGTTCCAAAATTCTCATTAGATTTTCAAAATGTTATCTACGGTAGAAGTGTTCTTTAGTTCATATTCTAGGTTGGTTTCACTACATCTGGGTGGTGGTTTCCAGATCTTACGTGTTCTTGTTTAGAGAAGTGAGAAAAAGATCAAGACTCCTTGTAGCCATGACTCACTTTCTAGAGGGCTAAGATGTTTAACTGAAAATTGCTCCACGATACTTGAAAATAACGTGTGAAAGAATTGCAAAATATTAATATTTTGGTCAAAAGAACACGCACACATTTCAAGCAAAGGAAGTAAAATAAATCACAGGAACACAATCACAGTTAGGAGTTAGTGAGGCCTCCAAGAAGGAGGTAACTTACTACCTGTTTCAGTTCTTCTTCCTAAAGAAAAAGAGGATCAGCACATGAGATTAGCCAGGACGTAAGTGAAGAACAGAAAACAAAGCCAAATTTGGAGTACAGGGTTAAAGCTACAGTCGAGATGGTTGAAGGTATGTGACCAGGTTATGGTCCCACCTCTGCACACTTTGAAACACCAGAACAGTGCAAAGCGTGCAGAAAGCTACTATCATTTCCTACCCCAAATTCTCTTTGTCCAGGCAGTGCAATGACAGCAGGCAGCCCTGACTGCTAGTTGTAGCACTGCAGCATTTCATAGGTAGAGCAAAAGGTATCCTGTCTACTCCCAGCTCCCAAAAATCTGCTGGCTACTCGGTGGGCTCTGCTGCTTAGGTGCCACCAATTCCTGCATCGTGGCTGCAGAAGCCTGTGCCTGAGGAGATGCAAATGACATAAGGGGTCAAACTCATCCTTTGATGCAAATACATGTTGCCAAATGGATTTCAGTGAAATTCTTTCTGCTTTTATCAGAGCCATATTTGACCCATGTTGCGCTGAATTTCCACGCGCTCACTTTATCTGGCATGGCCAACAACAAAACAGACTCTTATGCTATTCAGAGCACTTTCTTCCAATGTGAATTTCTGGCATCATCTGTCCTGAGGCACATCAGGTAAAATAGTGCTGGACTCTGCAAATAAAGACACATTTTCCATCTCACCCTAGTCTGTCTTAAAAATGCACATGCTTTTTGATATCTCCATTTTTAACCGAGATCCTTTGTTGAGGCATGTTTCATCTGTTTAATAAGGGCTTGTTTCTGTATTTTTGAAAATGAACAAGTGTTGTTGGGAAAGCATCTCTAAGATCAGAGAGTTAGATGCGGTTGTCAAATGGCACGTATGACAGAACTAGCAACCGAACAGGCAAAGTTAAAGGAACTAGTAAAAACAATTCTGTATACTGTCAGCTGGAGTAGAGAATAGTATACAGTGCTGAGCTGTTTTTCTCACAGTTATTAGTTATCACGTTTTACATGTCGTTTTGTTTCTTTTCCCATTCTTTTGTTTTGTATTTGATGTGCTCAACAGAGAAAACTCTAAAACCAGCTGAAACTGGACCAGAAAATATTTTGTGTTTGGACATTGCCAAATGGCCGATCCAGAAATTGCTAGCCTGAAATCCAGAGATGCGGCCAAATCCTTCTGCTAAAGAGCAAAACAGGACTGTATTGCATCATGCTGCAATATTATTTAAAGGATTGTATTAATTCTTCAATAGCTAGAATCACAGAATCATAGAATAGTTTGGGTTGGAAGGGACCTCTAAAGGTCATCTAGTCCAACCCTCCTGCTGTGGGCAGGGACATCTTCAACTAGACCAGGTTGCTCAGAGCCCCGTCCAACCTGACCTTGAACGTTTCCAGGGATGGGGCAGCCACCACCTGGACCTCTAAAGGTCATCTAGTCCAACCCTCCTGCTGTGGGCAGGGACATCTTCAACTAGACCAGGTTGCGCTCAGAGCCGTCCAACCTGACCTTGAACGTTTCCAGGGATGGGGCAGCCACCACCTCTCTGGGCAACCTGTTCCAAGCCTGTCTCTAATGTTCCATCCACTTAGCAGTAGGTGACAATGACGATGCAGTGTTACTGCAGGAACAACATCATCTGAGCACCATTTGAAACCCCTGAATTGAAAGACCAAGGCAAAAAATAGAAAGGGAAGGAAACAAAGCCAAATTTTACAGGTGGAAATAGTCAAGTTCTGCAGAATTCTGTGGTTATATCTCCTCCCTCTCCTCTCTTGCTTCACTCTGCCTGTTCTCCTTGGGAGTATCAGGTGGAGCTCCTTACCTTCAGCAGTTTCATGAGGCCTTCTAACTGAACCATAAGCTCCCTCCGGCTTTCCTGGAGAGCAGACATCCTCTGTTCCAGCTCATCCTTCCGCTGCCTGAGAAACAAGCAGATCCGATCAGAGCTTACCCCTCACAGCATCAGCAGCTTTTAACTGCATCGTTTCCCCAGCCCGACTATGAGGTATATGCCTATAGACCGCAGGAAAGCAAACACACTGTATGAGTTCAGCACAGTGCTTAGAGTTCGGTCATACTGAGAATATGGGGGATGAATATGGGACTGAATATAGTGATTAGGAAAAAGACAGACATTGACACACACCCTTCTCCAAAGAACAAATGAGGTTCAAACAAATTTGTGTTATATTCCCTTGTGGGAATGCCTGGCAGTTTTTGTCTTTGGACCTCTCTAGTCAATAACCTCACTAGCTGTCAGGAGAAATTAAAGTCATGCCCTCAAGGACAGGAAATTACAGCAGGAGCACTGAACAGAGCGAGATATGAGAGAAGCTAAGAGACTTCAGAAATTCAGCCAGAAAACCACAGCGATCTGCTTTTGTTTCTATTTTTTTCTGAAAGCAAGAGTAAGACTATCATATAGTGGAGATATAACTGCCTGAAAATAGCTCTTTGGACTCGGAGACCAGTGCTGGTCCTGTGACAGTGTGAACACTGAGCCACTCCAAGTGTGACAGCCAGTTTGTGTCCACGTAAATGGGAACAGCTTTGATTCTGCACAGCTCCACTGCACAGGACGGGGGTTCAGCACTTGCACATATTCAATCACTAAATTGTGTGAGAGGTCCCCACATAAATACAAAATAAAATTGTTGCCTCCTGGAAGCTATGACGTAATTAACAACATCATTACTGTTGTTTCATTATTAAACATACATATTAAACATATATATTAGGTATATTTTATACACTACTGTGTTGCAAATAACATAAACCCACTATGTCATTAGCCTTGTACTACCTACAAAATATTACAATTTAATCCTAAATGGAAAAGCACCAGTGCCAACAAGACTAAGTACATTTCCTATATTTAGGGAAATACGAAACACTGATTTTGAGCCTTCTCTGTAAGTGAGCAGTTACTGATATAAGCAACACTGATTTCTACAGGATTGCTCATGTGTGCTCTCTCCCACCTATATAATAGGATCATATAGTAACACTGCCAGGTTGTATTTACTCTTCTGGAGGATTAATCTATTTTCTGCTACAAATTGCCTGTGCTGGCTTTTCTGTTCCAGGCATGTAAGGGTTGGAAACGCTGTGAATTGTACAAAGGCAACTGAGTTTAAGAAACTGCTAATAGAAATAAGATACCCTTCCCATGTAATTCAAAGTGGCAGGTCCTAGCACAGACCTCTGCTGGGTTTTAGATTCATTCTACGGGGAAAGAGGATCTAAGCAGCGTGCAATGTACAGACCGCTCCTCTGACTTTTTTCTCCCGCTGTACTCCAGAGCAAGTTCTTGGAAGTAATGGGCTTTCCAACCTGTCTCCAAGACAGCACTGGTAATGTGAAGGAATGCTGTGTTCAGAACCTCATTTCAGCGAATCTGTAACACTACAGCAGCTAGTGAAAGATGCTGGGACAGGTACCCACAACGTAATTTACAGATTCCAGCATTTCTTAATATTATATGAACTAAATTGCCCTACTGCCCTAATTGCTTCAAGCCCCAAAAATCTGTAGGGTAACACGTGTACATCAGTGCTGTTGTTCTGAGTCCTGCTTTTTTATATTGTGACATCTTAAGTGTCTAGGAATTTGAGGTGGTGTCGAAATTCCACAGTAAATCAGAAGCCAATCTTTTGCCTTTCAAATGGTGAACACTTTAGAAGGTGAGCAAAGCAGTACAGACCCACAGATTAAAAGTTATTTTCTGACTCTGACACTGCATATTAAATCAGAAAAGATATCATAATTGAGGAACTCAGCATCACTGCCCTAGGAACATCCCGTGTCAGGAAATTCAAATAAGGGTATTATGCTTTTAATATGTGTAGCAAAATTGAAAAGAGGGAAAAATTAAGTAGTCAGCCTGCTAACACTGCACAATCATTTGATTTTTTTTTTAAGGATAATGAATTTTATTTGTCAACTACATAGAAAGCTAATCTCCTAAACCTGCTTAAAATAGACTTTAGGCTTGATGCGCAGGAGCTACATTATTGGTATACTTTATGTAGTGCACACATTTTCATCACAGTCAGTTTTATATGTCTCACAGAATGTCACTTGCCTGTAGATATCTAGAAGTAATTACATACTAAAATCAGTCAGAGAAATGAAGAAGCTTATTTGTCTTCAGATTAGAAAGCAATTGTAATTATTTGTGAAATAGAAAAATATTTTAGTCTGGAAAACTCAATAATAAAATTATACCGTATTTGTAAAGAAAAAATTTAGCACAATTTCTTACAGTAATTTCCTTTGGTTATGAATCAAACCACTAAAATATTACTTGTGTGAGGAGCAGCTAAGTGGCCAAAAATGTCTTTAGTCTTCTCATGAGAGAACTGCTCTATGGGGGGGGTGGTAAAATTTAATCTGGCATTGTTTCACTAGAAAGAAAGTGTTTACACTCTATTCTCTATTCACATGAAGTGTTTTGAATAGTTCTTATTGGATTCTCTGTCTGGCTCTCACAACATGAACTTCAGGACTTGCAGGGAGCCTACGGATCTGGGCCAATGATAATTGTTCTTCAATGTGATATACATGGCAATTAGTAAATCCATGTAGAGTATCCTAATTAACATGCAGACACATCCATATCAATGTTTTTAGCTTGGTGGGATAATTGGAGAAATGATCCTCTAAATGTTCAGCTGCCGCAGATGACATTACTCCTCTGTCATTCCAGGATCATTCTGCAGCCTGGTTTTGCACCGTGAAGAGAGCTGACCTCTCCTTAGAGCTCAACACATGAGGGAAATTTCCAAAAATTAACATCTAATTCTAGCTGTATTTTCATGTAGCTCTGTATTTACTTTAGCATAAACGAGAAGTCTTTGTAGAAGCATTTGTTCTGACGGAACGGCATTTTCCCCCATATAATTAATGGCATTTGGAAAGGGCTGTGGGGACCTATTCCAAATGACCTAAGGGCCTAACTCTGCAAACACTAATGCACATGCTTAATTTAATGTAGATGAGTAATATGTGAGATTCCTCATGCATGCTGTTTAAAGCATAAGCTTAATTACTTCTAGGACTACAGCCTGCACTGAAAATGGAGAAAAAATACATACTGTGTTTTTTACTTAAAAAAGCCCCCAAAACTGTAAGACACGCTTATCTCTTATTTCTTCTCTTATTGAGAATGACTGGCTGGCCCCAGTCATGGCCAGAGGTTTTACTGCTGTGGACTTACCTCAGGAGCCGGAGCTCTGCAAGTAGAGTGGGATTTTGTTGTGCCTTCTCCGGTGTGGGCTGAGATGCTTGCTCATGTTCAAGTCGCAGCCTCTGGATCTCCTGTAGGATTTCTCTTGGGGAGGAGAATAAGCAAGACTACAAGTCAGTAATTTTCCACAAAACCAGCTCACCAGACATCGCAAGAGGAGAAACAGTACGATTGTATGTAGCTCTTCATCAATGTAGATTTAATGACTGGGCTCCAACCAACAAAAGAAGCCCTCAGCAATGGGAGAGGGCTCTGGGTATTTTTTAAATAAACTTTCAGGATTACACCATAAAGGGAAATATTTCTTCAAGACCCCCAAAAATCAGAGGTAGACATGAAATAGCTCTATGCTTAATTATATTACTCCCTTCTAATTCTTCTCCATGAACATTTCAAGCACATGAACTTAACAAAAATTAAAGTAACCTATCTGGCCCTTCTTGAGTATCAGAGAAAATATTTAGCACTTAAAAAAATACTTTTAGTGTAAGCAGAGATCTGAGAGCGGTCAACAATTCATGGAGAAGCCCTTTAATAGGACTTGTTATGACCGGCTTGCCAGCCCTGGAGTGCTGTCAAAAGGCTAACACAAAGCTTTGCAGCAGAAGGTTGAAACCTTTGTGGATTTTTTCTCTTCTTCACAACGTGCTGGATAGCAGACGGTCAGGAGGCAGCCTCAAACTATGAAAGACAAATTGAGACTGGAGCTGGTGGCTCATTACACGGTGACAGAAGGCAGTGCAGAGTTTGGAAGAGGAAACCATCTGGTCTGGGCTGGCCTCTATTTTACAGTCCGACAGTAAACACAGAGCTCTGCTGCCATACATTTCATGGCATCAGGCAGTCTGATACCCAAGGCCAGATCCTCTGCTGCTAACAAACAGGCGTCGCTCCTTTTCGGGGCCGGCTGGCATATTTCTCCTGGACACTCTCTCAGTCTCAGTCACATCCATATCTAGTGTCTCGTTTGATCAGCAGCCTAACTCGCTGCTAACCTTTCTGCAAACCTTTCCCAGGCAGACTGTGTTCTGGAGAGCTTTAATCATCTTTTTCACAAATAAAAGCAGAGGAGCATAACGTTACCAGTGTTGACTGATGCTTTTATCATTTCATGTTATAGTGCTACAGAGGATCCAACTCAACCTGGTTTTGAAACAGGACAGGCTTTTTTTCTTTTTTTTAACTCTTAACAAACAGCAGCTGCAAACAGTAAAGTACCAATGATTATACGACGTCATTGAACAGTACACTCATTAAAACACAGGGTGGCTATGGATTTCAAAGCCTTTGTCATATTCTGCAGACCTTTTTGTGCCCTATGCTTTTTGTAGCGGGAGATGTATGCGCATGTATAAGCACATTGCACAGAAGTAGGTGGTAAAAAATGTTAGGAAACAAACAAACATACACAATATATGGGACTGAACAAAACCAGGTACTTTGTGGATGCTTACCGGTTTTTATTTTCAAGCTCTGCAATCAGCTGCCTTTGTTGCTTGTTTGCGTCAATGGTGAAGGAGATATCTGATGCCCCTCTCTGCTGACCCTGCTGCTGTTGTAAAAGAGAAGGCTGCATTGAAGGAATAGCCAGCATGCACTCATGAGTTCAATGCAGATCCGTTCTGTGAAATCCGCTTACAGAAAATGCAGTACCAGGCTTGCCTACACTAAAAAAAGAGCATCCATGTTGTGCTCATACCAGTATGGCTCCATTGCTAGTAAAAGCAGGGTAAGTGCTAGAGTAAATAAGACTCAGTGTTTACCGTCCTGTCATTCATTGCTTCTTCAAGGAGCTTCCTCTGGACCAATGGTAAAAGGCAATGGTACTGCTGCAGGCAGTTGCTGTAATATGGCTCTTAATTTTGATACTACAGACGAGGAATACACTGAAGCAAAAACCAGCATCCCTCTCCAAAAAGAAGGGGATGTGTTTCCAGTGCAGTGATGCTTCCTTCTCTTGAAAGTATGGTTTTACTTTCAGTCTGAAAGCTGTACTCAGTTTTCAGTCTGGCTGTGTGACCCATTTGGCCAAGTTTTCCTATCCACTCTGATGATACCTCAGAAAAGCTCTTTCCCCAGTCCTTCAGGTATAGCAGAACCTTTTTTCCCCAATAAAATGAAGTGGGAATTAAATTATTTACCAAACTAGGCAGTGCTCACTACAGCTTCATTGGACTATGTTCTCTTTTCATGTTCATCAGCAATAACCAAGTACTGGTTTGCTTGTTCACACTCCTGTATTTCAGTATTGTATCAATGACAATGCGGAGCAAGACATTAGAAGTTTCACAGCTATCCAAGAAATCAATTTATTTCTAACTCCAACCTGAAAGAATCAGACACTGAAAAATACCCTGCTGAGTTACTGCTGTGATCTGAGTGCTTCTCACCATAAGAGCCCCGTGAAGTGTAACTTGGGAGCCCAGTTTTATGTGATGCCAGGCACCTCCTCCTCCAGGAGGTGGCACCTTGCAGGAATGGTCCCTCAGAAAGGATGAAGATACATCTCAGTGATAACGTTAGCACTGTCTGTGGGGAAAGGATGCGTGCCTGTAACCACTTACTATTTTTCGTGCTATGGGTACATTTTCCCATTAACACTCCCACCATAGGGAAGGAGAGCAGTGCAAAAAGAAGAACTGATACACGCTGATGGATGTCACGACTGATACAGAGGGAACCAGGATCTTTATCCTGAATGCCCAGTGTTATCTGGTTCCTTAAAAAACAGAATGACCATCAGCAAAGCTTTACAAATTTCCACTGTGCTCCTAACGTGGTGCCACATTTCTGCATACAGAAACCTCCTCTTTTCCTTCTGTCTCTTTTGTTCAAAGAGCACAGATGGATGGCAAAGAGAAATTCAGTATTTTCCTTCAAACCAGCTCTATTCAAAAGCTACTTAAATATTTTTTCCTAAGTTTTCCCCCATATCACAGACACATGTTTTATACAACTGATTTCTACCGGTTTCTACCCAGAGACATTACTAACAGGCAATCTTGTTTCCATAAAGAATTACCATCCTTCAGAAACAGGACCATCACACCTACAGGTTGCCTCAAATTTGAAACACTGCGTCATGCCTCTGGAAGGGGTTGATGTGGGCTGGGCTGGCAGACCAGGAGCACCCGTGCATCCCTCTCTTCCCCTGCAGCTGCAGGTAGTGTGAAATCTTCCATGACAGACGGCTGCACGGGGTGGCAGATTCATCTTCACTGCCTTCACTTGGGATAAACGTGACTCAACATTTTTACACGAAGAGCAGTGCGTGATTTCACCCTTTCAATTGACCCCGCAGTGTGAATCTCAGTGTGAAAATACGCTTCCTGGCACTCCAGACCGGCTGCTTTTCACTTAAACATCATTTATGGTCCCTTGTTCTATCAAATGTGCTGAGATGGAAAAAAAGTAACTAGGCTGACCTTATTTGTGCCATTTAGGATTTTATATACTTCAATTAGGTTCCTGCTTCACTCTCTCTTACTCCTGAATATAGTTAGTTAGGTTTTAGCCTGTCATCACCTTCTATCTTGGGATACATAGAGCAGAATAATCATTGCTCTGAAATGAAAATGGGAGCTGGGGCTAATGCAGGGGGTCATTACAGTCATCCTGCTGAAGATCATTCTTTAAAATCCTCAGCGCTTAGGGCCCCAGTGGCCATAATATTTGAACTAAAGAGTAAAATGGATTCACCACCCCATTTTTCCACGGCAGTAAATCATTAACCTTTAACCAAAGCTAGTCCAGACAAAATTTTCTAGTCTTTCCTGAGTTCAAGATGTCAGATTCCCTTTGCTGTAATTCTTTAAATACCATTGCATTAGTATATAGATTATATGCATTAGCATGTGGATTCTTCGGTTTAAATGGACTGCATAAAAGTGTTATTACTAAAGCATAACAGCGTCTGATGAAAAGGGTAGGGAAAAATAGTTCATTAATCATTAAGACTGTCAGATGTAATTTCCCTGATCTTGCCAAGCCCCTGGAACATGACAGAAGGAAAGCACCTTCCTTTAATTAAAACACTTACTGATGAAGAAGTTTCTGCTGCCAGCCTTGCTGCATACCTGGCGATCAGCTTATGCTCTTCATCCAGGCGACTTGCGCTGTCGAGCACGCTGCTCAGGGTTGGAGGGGTAGGAGGGAAGACATGTCAATACACGGTAAAAAAAGACCATTGCTCTGTCACGCTGTCTACTCACACACCCTCACTGCAGAATTTAGAAGCAAAATGTCGCCAAATTAACAACGGCAGATGTTAACTGAGCAAAGGGGAGAACTGGGAGGGTAATTTCCCTGGAAGGATTAGCTCTAGGGGCCAGGCAGCACCTTCCCTTAGGGGGAAACAGCAGCGGTCTGCAACCCCTGGCCAAGGCTGTGCAAGATGCAACTCGCAGACTGCTCTGTCCAAAGAGGGGCGGGAGGTGGTTAGGGCCACCCGTCAGCATTTGTTTTTACTTCTCAGCTTTGTCGTATCACCTAGAAGAGTGATTACTTTTTGGACTGTGGATTAGCGGGAACCTCAGTCTTTGCTGAGAAAAACTTTAGATGTTTTGTCAGATTTGCAACAGAAAACAATATTCAGGACAGTTTTGCAGGGCACTTACCAAGGCCTCATGGACCACAGTTTGGAACCACTGATCTAGGAATTTGTAATCAGACTTTCTCTTTTATTCTTGGTTTCTTGATATTTGGGAATAAGATTTCAGAGAATCACATAATGGTGATCAGAAAGCGTGAGAACTAAAGAGCAAGTATGCTGAATTCCTTTAAAATATTGCAACTTATTACTTATATATCACCACTGATCCCAGACTTGGACTCGCTTTAACTTGGAGCCAGCTCCTGCTGCCAGAATGCAGGAGTCTACTAGCACCAACTATGAAGAGCTTTGGTCACATGCGCAGAATCTCCATAAAAATTACTCAGAAAGTGTAAGAACTAAAACAGCAAATATGCTGAATTCCTTTAAAATAGCGCATCTTATTACTTTTTTTTTCCCCCTAAGAATATCAAAGGCAAATATTTCTCTCAGGTTAATCCCCTGCCAGCTGTCCTTATTTTAAATGGAGGCTATTATTTAGGCAGATGAGGAGGAAAGAGGTAATACAGTGAGAACCTTTACTATTTCTAAATATTTAGAAGTTTGCAGAGAACCATCAAAACTAATAAACTGACAAAAAATAAAATCTGAAGAGGACTTAGTTGACCCTGGATAATCCTGGGATTTAGAATCCTGTATTGCATTACTTCTAGTATATACAAGAGAAAAAAAATGAAGCCCCTAGGAAAAGGTGAGAAGAATGCTTTGCTGTGTGGAATACAAGACAGCCTGCAGACTATCCCAGACAGAGGTAAGTCTGACCCTTTTCTTACGCCTTGGCAACTGTCTGATGTTTTGGCTGAAGGGAGACAGGCACACACCTCCCTACCCACAGGCTCTTCAGGGCACGCAACTGGTTGCTGGAGAATGAGCTTCACATTTCAAAAGAGTGCCCAAAACAAGGGTTATTTTGGGCATGGGAATCTTATCCTGATTTTTGCCAGAAATTATACCTTGAACTTGAAAAGCTTTCAGACAAAAATGGCACTTGTGCAAAAAGTTCTGCTTTTGAAGAATCGGCATCTTTAGAAGGAAAAGGAAATATTTCTCCAAAAATTCTCAGTGAGTTCATATCCCCAGGTACCTCGGGGAACTACAATGTGCATCTTTTGGTTGGCTTGATTAAGTCCACCGGGATTTAGAAGTTATGTTTGAAAGATGAGTAGTGGTTGATATTCATTGATCATTAAACTAAAGCTGGGAGTCATGTGGATTTGTTATGGCTTGCTGAGGTAAGGAAAAAGAGACAAACACCATCTTTCTCTCATTCCGACAATAACCTGTGAGCCCACAAATATGAAGTTTAGAAAAACAGTAAAGCTATGAAAAGTCAGACCCAGAGGGGTTCTGTGTAAGCTAAGCTTGTGCGGCAGACTGCACGTAAGACTTCTGGTGGTAGATGAACACTGACTTTTTGGCTTTGGTTATGTTTAATTTATTTTGTTACATATATAGCTTAATTCTATGCTTACTCAGATTCTTGTGGGATAAGTGTTTTACTTTCTGAAAAGACCCAAGCTAAAGGTATTTTTCTAAATTTATACAGTTCTGCTTCTTACATACTCATGCTTACTGTCCTGATATGTCATCCAGAGAAAGAAAGGGGGAAGCAACTCTTGCAGACACATGAAATTATGCAAACTAGGTAATAAGGGCTACTTTCATGACAGTATAATTAATTTTTAATTTTTCCATAATGACTAAAACATCACATCCTAGCAGATGGCTGTGAAAACAGCAAGCATTCAGCATCAATTCTCCTTTTTACAGCAATGTGCAACCATATTATCCATCCTGGAAAAATAATGGATTATGGTTCCACTTGTTGCCATAACACAATCTGCACCATAGTTCTGAGATGTGAGTTAACCCCTGAGACAATGACTTTACTGAATGAACCAAGCCACTGCAGCTTTTTGGTTCTTACTTGCTATTTAATGTCTTTGATATGTATTTATGTGCAGGTGGATGTCATAAAATAGATGTAGCAGCACATCAAATTTGGTCTATGAATGCCACAAATCACTGGCCCCAAAGCTTTGTAAATTAAATTTCAATGTCTGAGATAAATTTAGTTCTGGAATGTACCTATTCTATGTGATCACTAAGCACAGAGGTATGCACAGCAGCATTAGCCTCTACTGCCAAGACTTTTATGTCTCAGAGTTCTGATTTGCCATAATTCACTTCTGTTTTACTTCAGCAACTTCACGGACAATGATGCAGTGAAATACACACAAGCTTTAAAATATTATGAATATGTGTGCAGAATTTGGGACCCTCAAGGTAATGATTCAGGCATCCTTTTGAAAGAAAATGAACATTTTGCATACAAATATCCTGCTGCTGCTCCTTCTTTTCTAAAAAAGTTAAATGGTTTTAAAACTGCTTCTCCATTAGTGACCCTTTCTTTAAAGACTTTATAATTATTAGCAATAATTGATCTGGCAGAATTATTATAATTCAGATGTAGAGTGAATATCCAATCTTACTGCCTGTACAATAGGACTTCCTTTTTAGGCTTTAGTTGATCTGTGTAACATTCCACAGTCTAAAGGAGATCCATAAAAAAAAGGATCTCAAAACTCCAGACAAAGGATGAAAAATGTGAACAGAGGAGTGACACTGGAGGATCTTTGCTATTTCTCAGGCTTTAGATGTGTCAGATCAGCCTGTTCTGCAGTAGGCACCCTGCAATACGTGGTGCCTTTGACATGGTCCCCCACAACATCCTTCTCTCTAAACTGGAGAGGTATGGATTTGATGGGTGGACTGTCCGGTGGGTGAGGAATTGGTTGGATGGTCGCATCCAGAGGGTAGTGGTCAACGGCTCAATGTCCAGATGGAGACTGGTGACGAGTGGCATCCCGCAGGGGT